GAGGAGGAAGACCCCCCAGCCAGGAACCATGAATGACTTAAAGGGGGGAGGTGTGATGGAGCGCAGGACTCTGCAGTGGTGGAGCCCTTTGAGCCCCACACTCCTCAGCTTCCCGCAGAGGCATTCACCGGTGAAGACGCAGCCCCGCGGTGGTCAAGCGCAGCGTGCTCTTGGGCCACCCCTGGGTTAGCGGGGACGGGGACTGGAGGCGCTGCCACGGGACAGCAAGGGGCAAGGCTAAGGGACGTCGGGCGTCATGCGGCCAGCGCGCTAATTCAAAAAGGAGTCGGGCCACACCTCAGTGAGAGGAGTGAGGAGGAGGCCAACTCCAGGAGGATGGAGGGTGTTGGGGAGAGGGGGCTCGCAGCATCCCGAGGAGGAACAGAGGAGTCAAGGTTGCCGGGACACGTCAAAAGAGTGACGGAAACAGGGTCCCTGTGAGTACGGCGACAGTCAGTTGAGGGGGTCAAGCAGAGGGAAGGAAGTGACCCAGGACAGGTGGGTTGGTGAGTTTTGGGGATTGACCCCACCAACCAAGCAGCGAAGCTGATTCTCTGCCCTTAGGGTCCTGGGTCAGGACCTGAAGTGGGGGCGGGCCCAGGTCCCCCTTTCCCTCCCACCGGCATCTTCTGCGGAGGGCCAGACCTGCTGAGGTCAGTTAACATGGACCTCGGACTGAAGGACATGGGCTTTCAGAGTGAGAGACTCGGTAGCACTCGAGAAGAGTTAGAGAGTTAGGAGGGTGGTAAGCCAATCGGTGTCCCAGTGATAATGCGGTTGTACACCTGAGGGGAGCCCGAGGCATAACATATGGATACAGAGGAATGGAAATAAATTTGTGGAAAGTGGACATTAGGTGATATGGACTAGAGAGAGAAGGGAAAAATTCAGGGAATAAGGAATAAGGGCAGGGTTTTGGAACTGGAAGGAAGAGAGAAAATTAAGAAAAGATTAATACAATGAAAAGGAAAACATTAGAAGAACAGAGGAATGAGAACAATGGGTAAGGAGAAAGAAAACGATTCCACATGTCTTGGTGGAGGGAAGAGGATCGATAGACAATGGCATGTGAGGAATGCACAAGAGCGCTATGCTTTTGGTGGGCATCATTTGTTGATCTCTTACTGGAATATAATTTGCCAATGGCAAGCATGTCTGGTTAAAAAAATTAGATAAATGCTTTAAAAAATCTGCTTACATGCACAAAATTGAATGTGGCATTTGAACATTTAATGGAAGAGTCTAAGAATCATCTCACTGCATTTTCTTTTATTGCTTTGCCCACTGCTCCCATCAACAATTTTACTACCATTTCAAAGCAGATTGTATGTTGCTTATAATAAGTTAAGATTGTCAGCTAGAGTATGTCTACACTAGCTCGTTAATTTGAGCTATATAGGCAAATCAGGCAACTGGAGTTGAAACTGAAGCCCGGGATTTAAATATCCCAGGCTTTATTTGCATGTTCCCGTCCGGCCGCCATTTTTAAATCCCCCTCAGTTCTAATGAACTGCCCGCGGCTACATGCGGCAGTTTAAAGTTAATGCGAACTAAATCCTTAGTTCGGATTAACTGTTACTCCTCACAGAATGAGGTGTAACAGTTAATCCGAACTAAGGACTTAGTTCAGATTAACTTTAAACTGCCACGTGTAACCGCGGGCAGTTGGTTTGAACTAAGGGGGATTTAAAAATGGAGGCCGGACGGGAACATGCAAATAAAGCCTGGGATATTTAAATCCCGGGCTTCATTTGCAACTCCGGTTGCCTGATTTGCCTACCTAGCTCCAATTAACGAACTAGTGTAGACATACCCCTAAAGTTTTCTTCTGTATTTTTGTGCAGGGTTTGGGGCTTTTGGTTATTTTATTTTAGATGAATATGTTACTTTAGAACATACAGGAAACAACAGCTTACCAATGATTTTAGAAAATGATCCATTTCCACCTGGAGTTTGTGGTTAGGAGCCCATTCAGTCTCCCATTATTTAGAATAGGAGCAAGTTTGAGCCCCAAAAGCACAGTCTTGCAACTCTAACTCATTTGAATAGTCTTTAGTGAGGAGATTCGTGAGTGATGGTTGAAGGACTGGACTCTTTAATGATAAGACCATTTGCCAAGGCTCAGCATGGAACCCTCCCTTTCAGAAGATATTCAGCATAAACCTTGGAACTGAGCTTTGAAGCCTTTATAATAGCTCTGATCAGAAAGAAATATTAAAGCAAAATCCCCCAAAATAACACCACTGACACCATTTAGTTAGTAGGAAAAGAGATTTATAACTTTTCATTATATTTCTGCTTTTTTTGTCAGTGCTTATTTACTATAGCAGGCAAGATAATTCCCATTAATAAAGGTAGTGAGAACGGTTATTATGTTCAGTCTTGCCAATTACTGGATCATAGCTACATTTCTTTGATTCTCCATCAGCCAGTCAAGACAGCTTGATGTCTATGTTATAAATTATGCTTATTAGTGGCTTACAAGGAACTGAAAAGTCCATTGGTAAAGGACCAGATGTTCCTTTTGGTTCTGTGCTGTGGAAGGGAGCAATGTACACAAAGTGGTTTCCAAGTTGTCCTAAGAAGGGCATATGTAAAGAGATAACAGCTATGTGGCATAATGACATATCCCTGCACACACGGCACTCAAAAGTGCTATGAGGGAGAGAGAGGATGCACGAACAATCAGCTGTGGGAAAAGTCAGAAGCCGAATACAGTAATAGTACATGGCTGGAAAAATACTGTAACTTCTTCCAGAAACTGCAATGCACAGATGTCAAATTCATTCTGGATAAGGACAAATTCTATTTATAAATCGTTAGGGTGGGCTTATAATTTAGGACTTTGACTCACATCAGGACATGCATAGCGTACAGTGATCAAGTGTGGAAAATGGCTTTTATGTAATATTATTTAACTTGCATTCAACATCACAAGTGGGAAAATATCCTCCCCTTTAGGATCACCACTATTTCCAAATAGTGTTTTTGT